ATTCGAAAGGCCTTACCCCTAGTGTGTCGCGTATTGTTCTCTAGAATTCGCACGCTTGGATAGTGGATGTAGTGGCCCGATTCCCAGGCATTTTATTGAAGGCTGTTAAATTACCGAAGGTCATTTTACGAGTTTTTTGGGCAAATTGTTTGTTATGCACCACATTCGGTGTTTCGTTTGGTCGTTTGTTGTGAAGGCGCGGTTCTTGCCCTTAAAATGCTCCAACGAGACACGAAAGAGAATGAACTGGGAGACGTCTGTTTAGCTATGTTGGGTGGATAGTTTTGTCATTCAGCATTACTTTTTTTCACAACTTGTTGTGTTCGTCTTTACCGTCAACTCTCACTCCTGCTGTCAGCTTTACCCCCAACTGCGAGTTTTATTTAGAGCTGACATACTCTAAATTTTTCCATTTTGGCAGTAAAGTAATGTTAATTGTGGACTTAATAAATATGCTTAGTTGACGTAGGTTGGTTCTTTCGTAGAATCTCTTTTCAGCCCTACTGATTCTCATCACTTGTTCTCACTCCTTCCAAATCCCCTAGACAAGGTGCTATTTACCCTCGGCATTCAAAAAATTGTTGACAATCATAGAGGTAGTGCTTTAGCAACTGCTTATACGTGAACTACTCTCTCATTGTATTTCGATATCCTCTGTCTAGTAGTCCCTTGGTCTTCTTTTCTTTTTTCTTAAATTACAGAGCACTTAAAAAAATGGGTCAATGGGAGAATCTGGACTCGTTGTCATCCCTGGCATCTCCATCGAGCACCAGTTCGAGTGGGTGCACGGGTGGAGGTGAAACACTGGGCGGCGCCTCGGTGTTAGCCAGCGTTCGGGTTGAACTGGCCTGGCGTCATCGTGATTGGTCGGAGGTTTTTTCTGCCCTCTCGGCGGTAAGCTATCACTTTGACTATATCCCACTTTTTTTTGTGTAATCTTCCAACTTCATCCAAATGGGATGCATTATCGGAGTGTTTGCAAACCACAACTTAGCCATCTCTGTCTGACGGTACCGCTGTTCAATTGGTATTGCATAGAAACTCTCTAAATCATCTACTTGAACTGTAATGTGTAAAACATCGTGTGCTCTCATGCGTCAATGACTGTTTTGCGCTACAGAATACTATAACAGCGTTGACACAAAAGTTGAAGCACCTTCAGCACTTGCAATCGAATAGCCTCGTTTGAACGATGGTAATGGAGGTTTGCGATGCAACTTTAGTAAATAATTGTTTCTAGGTTATGTATTTATTAATTTAACGCAAAATAATGGGATCAGTTTCGGTTGATCGTCATTAATTGTCATAAGAACTTGGTGTTTGACAAAAAAATGTGGTTGTCATGTGCTATTTTAAGGAGACTATACCACCATTGAGTTCGACGATTTCTCTTTTCTGTCTCCTTTTGTTGCAGTTGACAAATGAGACACCGTCTCACGAGCAGTGGCGATTGGCATTAATCAGCGCCTCGGGCTGCGTCGCAGGTCGACGTGCGGTCAGCGAACTTGACACCTACACTGTCAGCGGTAGTGGGGGCGGTGGTGGAGTCGGCGGCAGCGGAGGTAGTAGTGGGACCGCCACGGGAGTCACTAGTACCCAAGGTGCTTCAAGCAGTAGTACATCAAGCACTTCAATCACCAATGCCAGTGTAGATGCTGCTGGTCTCTTCTCTACGGGCCTTTTGCAGAACATCGATTCCGAGAATCTGCATGTAATGAATAGCATTCTGCGTGAATGGCGCCGTCTTCCACTCATCGTTACGAATCAGCATGTTAGGCTTCTCCAGGTTTGCTTTTACGTCTTCTCTGTTGAGGTTACTACTCTCCTCCAAGTTGACAATCATTGATTTCCTTGGTGTTTTAGGCCTGTCAGCAGGCATCGGAGATTTATGATGGCAACCTCCTTCTTCTCCAACACACTGTGCCACCTCTGAGTGCTGGTGCGAATCCTACATCCACACCAGGCGTATCTCCTAGTCGATTGAACATCTCACAGTCTATGTACGACTACAAGACTGTCTTCCGATCCTGGCAGTGAGTTCTTGTTCTCCATCATAATGAAGTGCCAGCACTTATTTGTTGCCGGGAGATAAAACAGTTGTAATTGTTTGTAGAGCCCGTCTGCCTCTTGTCAGTGATGATCTCTCCTTCTGGAGTGATCTTTTCACTTGGCGTCAGATCGTTCTTGAGAGGATTATCAACACGGGCACCTGTTCGCATAAGTTTACACAAGAACGGGTAGGCTTTGACACTGCAGCCGTGTTTCTACTTAGGCATGCCAGCTAATAAGTGGATGTTCTGTTGTGTAATGCTGTAGAACAACCTCCTAGCCGCATGTCATCGCGAGCGTGCACTGTCATTGGTTCAAATGATCAAAGGTTACCGGAAATTTGGACTTCCTGGTATTGCTCAGCAGAGTCTTGATTTGTGAGTTTGTAGTACGTGGCATCTGTTTCCTCACTTTTGTGCCTCTTGTAATGACTATCGTGCACCTCGTATAGATACACCCACACCAAGATGCCTCCACTGTTTGAGAAGACCAAACAGGAAATTAAGTTGAAAATTGCGGACCTTCGTAAGGAAGAATTACTTGAGGTGAATAATTCCACTTTCTAAAGGCACTTCTTTTTCCATTCTGTGCTAATGTATTCTTTTTTTTTTCTTTTTTTCAAGGGCCTTGAACTGATGGAAAAGACCAACATTCAGCAATATGAGAAGAAGGAGAAGGCTAGGTTTTTCTGCTACAAAGCGGTATTCTTCTCTCACTTTAACAAGTATGCCTCAACGATCCTCTACATCCTCTTTTTACACCAACAGATCTCTCATGGTGTGTCACTTGTAGGGGAGATGAGGCGACTAAAAATTTCGGCTACGCCACACAGATGCAGGACAACTTGCACAAAGTTTGGTCAGTGTTTGGTGATTTCTTGGAAAATGTCTACTCCAGCAATCGAACGGCGTAAGTTATTTTCTCTCTTACACCTTGAGTTTCGGGAAATTTCCGCCTCTCCTACCCGAGTTTCATTTCCTTTACTGCGAATTAAAAAGTATAGCAAGTCGTAATTGAGATGTAAACCACTAAGTAGGTACTAGTCATGAAATTGGTGTTTCACCTGATAAGTGATTCACTCGATGTGTTACCTCCTCAGGCAAGTTAGTCTGTTCTTACTTTTTATCCTCCCCCCATGAGGCCTTGGTTTGACCTTAGCTGAAGTGACGCCAACTCTTCCCTCCTTCCGGTTAGGTAACTTGCGAAATATACTTTGCTTTTGGGTAGGCTTTAAAATGCTTCAAATTGCCCATGTACTGTTGCTTTCACCTTCCGCACCCCTACTGATATTGCCTTCAGTAATATTTATCGCCCTTTGGCATCAGGCAGTTGAAAGCGAGGAAATGGAATGAAAGACGTTTTTTTGCAGTCGACCCGGGATGGGATTGAAGGTGTTTGGTTCTAAGTCTCTTAACTCCATTTGACTATAAGCTGCAGCAAGTCTTTTTTTTTTTATGAACGGCTTTACGCACCTGAACTCATTTCTCCGTTAAGCAACATGGACAAGGTCATCATCCAACTAGTTTTGCCCTGTGACCTCCAACTCCTCTTATTTACTTACAGGAGGCGACTTAGCGTTTGCTTGCTAGCTCCCAAAACCTCCGCCTTCACCTTGCAGTTTTCGGTGATCTTCACAACCGAATCATTTACTGTTGGATGCGATTTCAACTATTTATTTGGTTGCTAAGGCTTTAATCCAATGGTTCCATCACA